TAATTCAAGGGAGATTGCAGTTCTCTTCTCTGGAAGAGCCAGGACCACAGTGGCAGGCAGAATTTGTATGGCTAAGCAAGGCGGTTCACGCTCAATTTTAATTATTATTATTTTTGCTGCTATTGTTAAGCAAATTAGACAAGGAAAACCAAAAGGACACTTATAGACTGGGTGAAACCAGGTTTAATAGCAGTGACTGGGAGAGGAATCTTGGAGTCTTAGTGGACAACCAGCTAAATAGGAGACAGCAGTTTAAAAAAGCCAATGCAATCCTAAATTGCATCAACAGAGGGATACAATCAAGATCAAGGGAGGTACTACTACCCCTCTATAAAGCCCTAGTAAGGGCCACACCTAGAATCGTGCATCCAGTTTTGATCCCCACACTATAAAAAAGTTATTGAGACTCTAGAAAGAGTGCAGAGAAGAGCAACCAGGATGGTGAGGGGACTGGAGGCTAAAACATACGATGAACGGTTGCAGGAACTGGGCATGGCTACTCTAGGAAAGAGAAAGACCAGCGGAAACAGGATAGCATCTTCCAATATTTGAGGGGCTGCCACAGAGAAGAGGAAGTGGGTCAAGCTATTCTCCAAAGCACCAGACAAGGAACAATGGATGGAAACTGACCAAGGAGAGATTCAACCTGGAAATAAGGAGACATTTTCTGACAGTGAGAACCGTCAACCCATGGAACAGAAGTTGCCTTCGGAAGTTGGGGGAGCTTCATCAATTGAGACTTCCAAGAAGAGATTGGACTGCCATCAGTTAGAAATGATGTAGGTGGTGTAGGGTCTCCGGCTTGGGTGGGGGGTTGGACTAGACGACCTCCAAGGCCCCTTCCAATCCTGTCATCTGAAATCGCCATAACCTGCCCTTAATTAAGTGAATCCAGTTTCTTCCACTAACTTTGTTTGTGGGAAGCTGGTTTGGGAAGATATGTCATAAATACATATTGGTTGGCAAGCACCCAATTTTTGATCCCATGACCGTTATAAGAGGGAGGACAGGATTCTCCCCCCCCCCCCAGCAATGTAGCTTCCAATGCTCACTAAATGAATAGTTGTAAGTTGAGGACTATATATAAAACTAATTGCCCAATGAATTGTATGGCGGTGATATCATAAGCCCTTGTGTCAATGGGAAATCCTAGAGTAGGTGGGGGCCAACAGGTTTGCTTACCTGGGCCACATGGAGTAAGGAGTTATTGCCTTGGGCCACTTACAAAATATGTAATATAATATATCATTGTATAAATTGGTAGAGGCAGATATTTTTCTCTCTCTGGGCACGATGAGAGAATATCTGCTGAACAAAACTCCACCCTGGCAACAGGAAGGGCATCGGGCCAGTAAACACTCTGCTAGCTGCATTCGGGACTCCACCCCACAAGGGATGATGGGCCGTTTACAAGTTGGTGATGCAACCCCCGTGTAACAAGGAAGAAAAGTGGAAATCACCCCCTGCTCTGTTCTTTGGCTCCCCATTGTGCAATGAGAATAAAGAGAAATTCGGCGTCATCATGAACAAGCGGCTTATTTTATTGCGAGGAGGTTAGAATCACGTTCCCGCTGGTGATTTTCCCGGGCACGGATCATCTACATATCAATCACGATCTACTTCAAATTTGCTGTACACTAAAACTATGCATTTCTTTTCTCTCCCCACCCTCCTCCAGACGAGAATTCCTTTCGAACACAGGTCTTCCCTTTGGGGAAACAGCCTAAGGCACTTCCTCCGTAAGGACCACATAATCCTGAATTGTGTAATTAAAAGAGCTCCAGCTGAATATAGGATCGGGCACGGTGTCATCTTTCATCAGCAGCCTGACGTCATCGGAGGTCAACATCCTTGGCCACATGTTGACCTCTGCCATGTCACCCACGAAGGATTGGCTGGCTTGGAAGCCCCCTCCGAAAGTATCCTGGTCTTGCCCCAGGAAGATGGAGGCCTGGTGGCTGATCTTGTAACCCCTTTTGGTTCCCAAGCGGGGGAGAAGGACGCCGTTGAGCCAAAAATAAATCAGCCCATTTCTGGAGTTCCAGGAGACGCAGATGTGCTCCCAACTGGGAATAACTTCCGTAGGGATCTTGAAGCGTACATCCGAGTTGCCTATGCTAACCGAATAGACGCTGTGGTCTTCCTTAAAAATCAGGAAAGCGTTGTCGTGGGCCCGGGTGGCATAAGAGAAGAGGGAATAAGGGCGTAAGAGCGGGCAGTGGTGTTTCAGGCAGACGGAGAGTTTGGTCAGGGGCTTCTGAAGGTTTACATTCAGGCGCACGGCGGCCTTGGGAGAAGTTGCCGGGAAAATGAAGACCTTCTTCTGGAGATCTGGAAAGAAGACCAAGAGATCTCAGTTAGAAGGGTAGCTGTTTAGAATCGGGTGGAGGAGGAAGGGGAAGGAAAGCTGCGAGCAACACGATGGGCAGATAAGAGGACCTTGAGCCTTGAGCAAAAAAGTAATGTGGGGAAATCTTGTCCATCAAGATCCAGCTGTTTTGACAAGCTTTGGGGCCAGTTCCCACTTGACCCATGGATTTTTTTGGAGGGGGACACAAGCCAGGTTCTCAACCAAGACCAGGAATCCAGGTCCCCTTTGAGTCATGGTGACTCTACCTGACCTTTGGCTGAAACCACCTGAATTTGGGGTTGGGGAACACAAGGCCATCTTCTCCTCCTCAACCAAGACCAGGAATCCAGGTCCCCTTTGAGTCATGGTGACTCTACCTGACCTTTGGCTGAAACCACCTGAATTTGGGGTTGGGGAACACAAGGCCATCTTCTCCTCCTCAACCAAGACCAGGAATCCAGGTCCCCTTTGAGTCATGGTGACTCTACCTGGACTTTCATTGAAGCCACCTGAATTTGGGGTTGGGGAACACAAGGCCATCTTCTCCTCCTCAACCAAGACCAGGAATTCAGGTCCCCTTTTAGTCATGGNCCACAGTACGCCCTTTTTACGACGGTCACAGTCTCCCAGGGTTTATACGATCCCCTTTTGTGACCTTCCCACCTACCCAAAATCAACGGGGAAGCCCGATTCACTTAACAGCGCTGGCAAGGAAGGTGGTAAAATGGGGCGAAACCTAGCCACTGCCTCGCTTAACAGCAGAAATTTTGGGCTCAACAGTGGTCAGAAGTCAAGGCCTGGCCGCATTGGATCTGTTTGCAGAGCGGTCCCCGCAGGGTTTGAGACCCCGCTTGTCTAGGTGGGTCCTGAGATGCGTTTCTTGAGGCTGGCTAGCCTAGTGGCCGGAGGAGGAGACTGGGCTGCGTGTGGCCACAGCCTTGCCCGTCGCGACCCCCTTTTCCGTCTCTGCTTCCCTGCCAGGTGGAGGAGGAGCTTCAGGAGCAGGAGTTCCTGGATCGCTGCTTCCAGGAGATGCTGGACGAAGAAGACCAGGACTGGTTCATTCCATCCCGCGACCTGCCTCACGGCATCGGGCAGCTCCAGCAGCAGCTGAACGGACTCTCGGTCAGCGAGAACACCCACAGCCACATCACGGAAGACATTTTGGTAAGGAGGGACGCCAGAGGGAGCCGATTTTTAAAAAAAACACCTCTTCCTTTATTATTTTATTGTAAAAACTAGAGGCGCTGGCCTCCCACTCGGCAGGTGGAGAGTTCAAATCCTAGGCAGCACCTGATGTTTCTCCGGTGTGCCGAGTCGAGAGAATCCAAGGAAAGGAAAGGGTTAACTTTGCTTCCTCTGCTTGGAGCCTGAGTCAGTCTGGTCCCGCCTCCTCTGCCTGAGCATGCCCAGTTTTGACTCAGTCTTGGAGCAGACCAGGCGCACAGAAGCGCCGCGGGTGAAGAAGAGCAGAGTTCCTGGGAGTCTTCCGATCAGTGAGGCCCACATCGCAAGGAGCCTCTGCCACTTGTGAACGGCTAGGCGAGCTTCCCCAGTCCTTTGGGGAGCCATCTGACTTAATTAGCCCCACAGCTGACCGGTGAGCTTCCGAAATAGCCGCGGCAGCCACTTTACTAATTACTGGGATTAACAATTTTAAAATCCCTGATGCAAACGCACAGCTGGCTGGGCTACAGCTGTTCGGCTGAATTTGGCCAGCTACGATTGTTTACCTCACCGGCTCTGGCCCAGTCACCAGAAGACGCTTGGGCTGAGCCCCATAGCCAGTCTAAAATTTCCACACATCCGACCAGGCAGAGTCTCAAGGCCCCTAGGAGAAATGCTCAGACAGCAAAGGAGGGCGGGGGGGCAGAGTGACTGCCCAGTTCAGGCTGAGCATCCTCCAAGCGGCGGAGAAACAGAGAGAAAGAGAAATAAAGCCGCAGCCGCAGAGGGAGACATGTCTGACCATCAGAATTCAGCAGCATCCGAGGCGAGAGTGGGGGGATCGGGAGCCCCCTACCCAGAACCCAAATTGCTCACAAGACTCCAAAGGGTGGCAGTCGGGCACTTAGAGGAGCAGCGGCCCAAAGAATAGCCGGAGGAATTCCCTCGAAAAGTGGGCCAGCAGGCGACCAAAGGCCACGGGGGAGAGATTTGCCATGGCGGAGAAGGGATCGGAGCGAAGGACGGAGAGCAAAGCAAATGGAGAGGAAAGGTTTGGAAATTCCAATTTCTCCCCCAGCGTTTACAGAGCGGTCACTCAAGAAACGGCCGCCGGTCGAGCGCTGGACTCCTCCCAATGTTGACCCTGTGTAACTTTAATCTCTCTTCTCTCCCCTCCCTCTTCCCCCTCCCCCTCGTTTGCAGAGCAAAAGCACCTTAAACCCGGACGCCAAGGAGTTCGTCCCTGGGGTGAAGTACTGAGCCCTCCGGTCTCCTTCCTAAAGACTTTTTTTCTGCTGTGGGTGGGTGGGGGGATGGGGTGGGGGGAGCGGGGCCCACCGGCACGGGTGGGGAAGAGACTCTTTGCCGGCCAGCCGGAGGCCTCCTAAGCTACTTTCATCCCTCTTGTCGTCTTGCTGCATTGGGACACTTGGCAACCGAGTGGAGAGAAGTGGCGCTCGCCGTGGGACAGCGCCAACGGGCACCTCCGGGCGGGGGTCCCTACCCGCCCCCCCTCTGCTTTCTGTTAAAAGAGTCTCCAGCCTAGCCTGACCACCAGCAGCGTTTTCTGCCCCTCCCCTCAGTTTTAGCTGCTCCTCCAGGCAGGAATTGGGACCTCGGTCGCAAGGGTAGGCGAAGGTGCCCCCTCCCCTTCCTCGGTGGACGTTTGCAAGCACAGCGGGCACGCGGCCTTCGACTGCTGGGCGTTTTCTGCTTCTCCAGCTTTAGGGGCAGCCCCTTCCTCTTGATTTGTTTTTGCCCAGGGTGGGTGGGTGGGGTGGAGGGCTTCGATGGGAAATGGGGCCAGCCCTTCGCGGGGTGTTTGGGGACAGGGAGGCTGGGCCTCTGTGGCCTTGGATGGATGTTCCCTCCGTCCGGTGGCCAACCGCTGGGGGTTCTCCTTTGGAGGGAAAGAGGGAGGTGGGTTTTTTAGAGGAGCCGATACGTTAAGGGGTCCTGGGTGTTGGGTGTAGCCCCTCCCCCCCCGCCATTTTCTACCCTTCATGTCTCTTCTACAATCCTAAAAGTCTTAAGAGCTTCCAATCTTGGCAATTTGAAGACTTGTGGACTTCAACTCCCAGAATTCCCCAGCCAGCTTTTGCTGGCTGGGGAATTCTGGGAGTTGAAGTCCACAAGTCTTCAAATTCACCTAGGCTGGACATCCTAGAAGGATGGGTAGGAGCCATTGGTGGTTCCTCCACCAGAGACATCCTCACGTTGGCCGTCTGGAACCCCCATCTTCCGCCTCCTCCCATGGAGCCCATCCATGCCCACTGCCACACCCACCCCCCACCCCTATGAAAAGGACAATCTGGCGCCCATCCGACGGGCACGAGGCCCCACCTGGAGGGGGAAGGAAGCAAGGGGCGGCTGCCTTCCATACTCTTCAAACAAAGCTTAACTCCTGTGGTCTCCCACCCAAACGGTCCCTTCTCTGGAAATTCCTGCTGGGTGGAAATTCCCTTTGGAATGAGTTAGGGGTCTCCCAATGTGGCCACTTGAAGGTCTTGTGGACTTCCACAAGTCTACCAACGTTGATCATCTAAAGAGGAATCTACTCCCAAGCTGAAGGAGCTCTTCGTAGGAGACAAGCTTCTTGTCAGGATGGCAGGCGAGACCACCTCCTCTTCCTCCCCCTTTGCTGAGTAACATGGCCCCTCTCCTCAGCCCCCTAAGTCATGGGTGGGGAGCTAGGACCCTCCTAATAACCTATGGACTTCCCACTGCAGGAATCCCTCAGGGATTCTGGGAGTCGAAGTCCACAAGTCCTAACGGGGCTGTGGTGCCCGTCTCTGCCCACAATCTTCGCTGAGGCCAGCCTTCCTCCATCTGCTCCCTTCCCGACAGTTCATCCCACCCTGCTGCCGTGACCCCTGGCATGATGGGGCTTGTAGTCCGGCTCCTGCAGAAAATCCTGGCAGGGGACAGGTCACCTGGGACTCCTTCCCTTCAGCACCTGTGCAGGTGCTGCTTTGAAGGGATCCAGCCTGCCCCTTTCTTCCCTTCCTCCATTTCCTCCGTCTCCTCCTTTCTTCCATCCTCCTTTTCCTTCCGTTTTTTTCCTTTCTTCCATTCTCCTTTTCCTTCCGATTTTTCCTTTCCTCCATTCTCCTTTTCCTTCCTTCTGTTTTTTTCCTTTCCTCCATCCTTTTTCCTTCCTTCCCCCCTTTCCTCTGTTTCTTCCTTTCCTCCATCATCTCCTTTTCCTTCGTCCCCCCCCCCTTTCCTGTCTCTTCTTCCTTCCTTCCTTCCTTCCTTCCAGGACACAGCTGCTTGCAAGCAGAACTGGGTCAACATCAGGATCTCCTTCTCCAACCCTTTCGAGGCAAAATTGACATAGGAAGCCCAGGAGTTACAGACAGGAGGCAAAAAAAAAAAAAAGGTCAAATCTCCCCCCCCTTCTGGGGCCTGGGTTTTTTTTGGGTGGGGGGCGTGGATGCAACAGGAACATCTCCGGATTCTGGCTTTTTAAGCTTTGCGTGGGGCCGATAGATTTCTCCGCCTTGGCTGGTTTGATGGGAAGCGAGGGGTAGGATGGTGCAAGCCCCCCCCCTTTTCCCCTCGCCCCGATCTCCCCCCAAGGAAGCCTTTGCCCATTTTTACAAGAATGCATTCTTCAATAAATGGATTTTGAGCTGGGTGTGGTGGCCAGGGTCTCATTGGGGTCTTCCCGCTCGTGCAGGAAACGGTCAGCTGTCCCCCCCCAGGGTCTGGTTTTGGGGCGGGGGGGGGGCAACGGGCCAGGGACAGCTGGCAAGACAGCCTGGGAAGCAGGGAAGAAAGCTATGGGGCAAGACTCGGTTGCAAGACCTTTTAGCTAAACATCAGTCAAGCTTTACAAGGGGGGGGGGGGCGCGGGTCGTCTTTGGGCCCAAGGTGTGACGACTGGTGAGAACATTCGGTCTGGGATCAGCAACAACTGGCCGGACTCCCTCACCCCCCCTTGCAAGCTTTCAGGACAGGGGGAGTACAAGAGAGCCCCAAATTTCCGTTGCTAAGCCAGACGGCTGTTAAGTGAGTTTTGCCCCCATCTTGCGACCTTCCCTGCCAGAGTTATTAAGTGAATGGCTTTGGTGGTGAAGTTAGTAACACGGCGGCTAACTGAATCCAGCTTCCCTTGTCAGAAAGTCGCCAAAGAGGATCACGTGACCCCCCGGAACGCTGCCAACCGTCATAAATATGAGATGTGGAGGGTCTGACGTTTGATCATGTGACCACGGAATGTTGCAATGGTCATAAGTGTGAAAAACAGTCACAAGTTCCTTTTTCCCAGTGCCATCGTAATTTGAACGGTCATTTAATGAAGGGTCGTGAACAGAATAACAGAATTCGGAGGGATGGTGGAGGTCTTCTCCTCCAGCCCCCTGCTACATGGATGGCTGTTAAGGGCTCCCTGTATCCAGGCACTCTGCTGGGGGGGTGGGGGTTATGGCCACTGAGACCACACTACTTGATTAAATGTGGTGTGTATCTGTGTGTGTCCCTCCCACAGCAGCAGAGAGCCCACCTTTTGAAGCCCCCCCCTCCCCCCCAAAAAAGATGGTCCGGAGTTGCCCATCCCTAGGCAAAGGAGTGAGTGTAGAAGACGTCCACGTTGGCTTTGTAGTCCAGAGGGACGGCCCGGCCGATGTGCTTGGCCCCCAGGCTGGCCCCTCCCAGGGCCGAGGACTGCTTCAGCTTCAGCAGGCTGAACTTGGAGAAAGCCCCGTTGAGCTGCTGGCTGTGCGCCTGGCTGAGGACCTGGGTGAATCCTGGAAGAACAGGAGAACAAGAGTTGGAAGGGACCTTGGGAGGCCATCTAGTCTGACCCCCCCTGCTCGGGCAGGAAACCCTACACCACTTCAGGGTAACAAAGGGTTATCCAGTCTCTTCTTTAAAACTTGGGAGCGTTCAACAACTTCTGGTGGCAAGCAGTTCCACTTGCTAATCGTTCTGTCAGGAAATGTCTCCTTAGTTCCACGTTGCTTCTCCCCTGGATTAGTTTCCACCACCACCACCCCCGCACCCACTCTATTGCATTTCCTACTTCAAGGGCAACTCAAGGACACTGGCCCTCCTTTTCATTGGGGCAGGAGTCTCCAACCTTGGCCACTTTTTAAGACTGGTGGACTTCAACTCCCAGAATTCCCCAGCCAGCTGGCTGGGGAATTCTGGGAGTTGAAGTCCACCAGTCTTAAAAGTGGCCGAGGGGTTGCGGCTGGCCCCGGAAGCACATTCAGCCTTGCTGCAATCGGGGTCCTCACCGTCTCTCATCATCTCCCAGCTGTTCCACACGGATCCCACGCAGACGACGGGCAATCCTAAGTCCCCTTGGAGTAAGATCTGCAGGGAAACAAGCATCAGAAGCCGCGGGGATCTGTGGGCCGACTTTAATGCCCCCTCTGTCCAGGTTACGGGTAGTCCTCGACTTATGACCGCAATTGGGCCCAGAATTTCTGTTGCCAAGCGAGACACTTTGGTTGTGCCTCGTTTTACGACCTTGTCCCAGGGTTAGGATCAATAGGGCTGCTTCATAAGCCCAAATTAACTTTGGGGGTGTGCGTGTTAGGGAACGGAAGCAGCAATTGCCCCCAATCCTGCCCCTTTCCTCCTGTCCACCCCAGATTGAGTTACCTGGTCGATTTTGGGCAGGACGGCCACGATATGCCGTGCCAGGACTTCTCCGGCCTTGTGGAAAATGTAGCGGCACAGGGGGTCCCCAGCCTCGGCACCTACGGAAGAGACGGAGAAACGGTTCGGTCCTTCTCTTGCGCCTCTCCGACCAGCCTGCAATATGCACACTCCCAGAGCATGGTTCTTTCTTACAGAAGCGACTTGGGTAAAAATAATCTATCTGGGGATTGTGTCAGAGTATCTGTGGGACAGCCTATAACCGGATACTTTGGGAGCTGAACAGCATCACAACAGGGTCTCCAACACTGGGCGTCTCCCGCCACTTTCACAACAGAAGTTCGATTTTCCTTTTTGATAGCCTAATCGGTGTCTCACGTTTCACAACTTGAGCGGACTTCAACTCCCAGGATCCCCTTAGCTGGCATGCTTTAAGGTAGGTGGACTTCCACTCCCAGAATCCCCCAGCCACTAATAGCTGGCCACGCCTGGTGATACACAAAATCAGTTGTCTCTCAACCTGGCAACCTCATGATGGGTGGACTTCAGCTCCCAGAATTCCCCCAATCCTGCAACCACCCAATACTGACAGGAAAAAAATCTTTCCTGTGCTGACTCAGCGTAGTCCAAGAACTTGATTAAGCATCCTCCTGAGAAGGGACCCTGCAGTTCTTTTCCCTGGCATCCTAAAGTTACTCGTCCCTTTGACCTGCAGCCCACCTTCAGCCAGTTTCCGGCAGAACCCTGCAAACTTGGACTTCTCAAAGGTCCTGTAGAGGTGAGTTAGGAGCCCCATTCGGTCGGAAACCTGTGGGAAAACATGAAGAAAACTTTCTTTCCTTTTTCTTCCTTCCTTCCTTCCTTCCTTTTTTTCCTTTTCTTTCTCCTTTTCCAATTCCCAAACATCGTGTTACAATAAAAATGATTTGGACTACTTAGTTAGCTGCTGCAAGAGGATCACTCCGACTCACTTAGAAGCAACGGTGTGACAAAAGTGGCAACAATTGTACATTGGAAGATTTTCAAGGACTATCATTTGTCTGCAAGCAAGAATTGGTGGGAGCATAAAATAGACATAATGATAGATGTTCTGTCCCCCCTTCTCCGCTCGTTAAACAGACAACAGGCAAACAACTTAAAAGGAACTCTCTATCAGTTCTCGGCTCAAACTGGCTGTGAGCCCAAAAATAACATAAATAAAGTCTCTGACGAGATAACAGGATACTAAACAAAAACTCTTACAGCGCAATGCACTTCTCCAAGTGTAGCCTTGAATCAGGGTTACAGGAAACAAAGCACTTCTCCAAGTGTATCTTAAATAAACCACGACTGATGATCAATCAGTGTTGAACGAGCCAAGGAACGTTGACTCCTGCAACTAGGGCATGGCGCCATCTGTCCTTTTATCCCCAGAATATGCCCCTAACGAGCCCCAGCTGCATAATTAATCTTGCATCCCGAAAAGACTCACAGAAGACTGCTGCTGAGTCACAACAGATAGAAAAGGAGGGAGCCGAATTGATCTGGGACTTCAGAACCCAGCCAGACAGGCACCTGCCACGTAACACCCAGATTTAACAAGTGTGGATCAGAAAGACCAACATCTGGATAGTGGAGCATGGCAGTACTTGGGAAGACAGCTGTTCGCTTACCTTTGCAGGCACGCTCAGTAGCAGGCTCCGCCCACCTGCCCAGACACCATCACGTCTCTTTTTGACCCACAGAAGGTCCTGTGCATGCGCGGAGGTAATGCGTGCGAGTGGAGCTAGCTAGTGTACACGCTCACATTACTACCGAACCGGTAGCAAAAGTAAGTTGATCTCACTCCTGTGTATCCCCCCCTGGGGTATCCACAGCCTTCCCAATGGGGGGCTTCCTGCTTTAGCTGCCCTCCCATTCCCACGGACGCCAGTGGAGGGTGATGCTAAAGGTTTGGGGGTGGGGGGAGATGGACCTTTTGCTTACCTGGAAGTAGTCAAACATGGCTTGCTTGACGTAGCCGATGTCGTGCGGTGGGGCCTCCAGGTTGTCCAAGGCGTCAAACACAATCTTCACAGCCCGGTGGGCAATCCAGTAAGCTGCCAAGAGGCCAAAAGAGACGGTCAGCCTGTGGGCTGGACTCTGCCTTCATCCCCAGCCACGCAACGCATCAACCTCGGGGCTCCCAAGGAAGCTGCTGCCCCACCATAACGGAGACACCCGCCTAGATACAACGGGTAGGGGCTCCGTCATTGGAGGTCTTCAAGGAGGCACTGGGCATCCACTTGTCTGGAAGGAGAGAGCCGTGATGGCAAACCAACGGCACGTGTGCCACGGGTGGCATGAGCCATATGTGCCGGCACGCGAGCCATCAGCTCCAGCCTGGGCCAGCTTATTTTTGGCCTTCCAGAGGGCCAGGAAAGGTCGTTTTCACCCTCCCCAGGCTCCGGAGGCTTTCCTGGAGCCTGGGGAGGGTGAAAATGTCCCCCCCAGGCCTCCGGAGGAAATATCAAGCTCAGCTTGGAGGCGAGCACTGCGCTGTTTCTGAGGGTGAAGGTTCATCCTCTGAGCTTGTGGGTCGGTTTCCAAACGTTTCATTAAGCACACTATCGGAGAACGAACCTTCCCCCCCACTCCTCATCCTACACCAGAGCGACAAGTATTCACTGCCATTGCAAGCCTCCATATTTATCTGTGTTTTGGACAAAATAGCCAATGAATTCCAAAGTCCTCTTGGTATCTCCAGAGGGCAGAGTCTGCGTCCTTGGCCTTCGAGGGAAAGCCCACACGTCCTGCACAGAAAGAGGCATGCAAGGAAATGTCATTTTCATCTCCGCCGATTAGCCTACTTTCAAAATTCCTGGTTTTTTTTATTTTCCATTTTCATAACATACAATCACATGTATACTATTACATAGCCAATATCCTATTGTATTAAGTAG